CTCTCAGAGGACTCGTGTCATACGAATACTGTCGCGGATCTAGCTCGAGTAGCAAACCGAGTTCAGACCTCTCGCTGGAACAGACAAACGCGCCTGATGATTCTGAATCGATTTCTGTAAGTAGCAGCTCTGTACCTCTCCTAAATCTTGAGAACTACAGAGAACGGTCAACGTGTGTCGAGATGCTCGAAACGGCCGACGGTTCCCTCAAGTCTTTCGATAGTAATATTGCAGCTACGGACCTGAGAATTTCACTGGCAGACGGGGCACAACCCACTACAGGTGAGAAAAATACTGGTTCCCAAAACGAACTTTAAAAGTTTGCGCAAAGATTGCAAAACCGACCCAAAGTACCACATTGTCTCTTACGGTCGGGTCGGCCAACTAGCTCCAGCCTGCACCCGAATTCCTCTTACCTCATCTTGCCGAAGAGCTCTACGAGGCATGACTCTTAAGCTTCCAGAAAGAGCTTGCTAGGGGGAGCCCTACGAGTTACTAGCTCCACCCTGTCGCCGAATTCCTCTAGCTCTTCTACCACTTGGCAGCGTCCAAAACCCGGAACTGGCGCCGGCGGTGAACCGTCAACCTGGTCACCGCCGGAAACCTCGCAGAGCTCATTTCACGCGTAAGAGTGCTCGGAGTCGAAAGAGAGAGCTTCTGGAAGCATTTCTCTGAGGAGAAAGAAAAAAAAAAAAAAAAAAAAAAAAAAAAAAAAAAAAAAAAAAAAAAAAAAAAAAAAAAAAAAAAACGTGTCGACCTGAAGATGGTTCCGCCAAGTGTTTTGATAGTAAAAGTACGCCTTCAGAGCTCATACAAAGACAGAGAGGCCCTCATAGTCGTTTACAGGTGCGAAAAATCTGCTTTCTCAAAATGAATTGTCAAATATCTTTCAAAAAATGCAAAACCACCCAAAAGTTACCACTTTGTCCTTTCTTGCCAGGTCGACCAACTGGGCGCCGGCGGAAACCGTCAACCTTTGTTACCGCCGGGGGACTCGTAGAGCTTCCTGACAATATAATGTCAAAAAAAATACACAGAAAAAATAGTTGTTCAGCCCAAGCAGTTTCAGACCTCGATGCAACAGCCCGACGCCCCGATGCTTCTGGATTGTCTTCTGCACGAGCTCTGTAGCTCTCCTACAGCCCGAGTTACGTGCGTACATCGACAGCACCTCTCAAGATGACTCGAATAATACGAATAGTTTCGCGAACCTAGTTCGGGCAGAAGACAGCGCTCGGAGCTCTGGATTCCACAGGCGGATGCGCCTGATCTCTCCGAATCGATTCCAGTGATTCTCAGCCATGCAGCCGCCCTACAGCCCGAGTTAAGTGCAGAGAACCGACAGCATCTCTCAAGATGACTCGAACAATACGAACAGTTTCGCGATTCTGGATCGGGCAGCAGACCGAGTTCAGACCTCTGGAGTGAACAGACGGACGCGACTGACGATTCCGAATCGATTTCTGTAAGCATCAGCTCTGTAGCTACAGAAACCGAGAGCGCCTGTCAAGATGACGAGTAATACGAATAGGTTTCTGGACCTAGCTCGGCTAGCAGACCGAGTTCGGACCTCTGGCTGCAACAGCGGAACGCGCCTGATCATTCTGAATCGGTAAGGTGTGCTTACCAGCTATGTCCTATATCTCAAGTTAAGGCCAATATACTGACAGCGCGTATCAAGATGACTCGAAACGGCCGATACCGCCCGTGTGCTTTTTGGCAGTAAAAGATACCCGATCGAGCTGAAATCAAGATGGCGACCGGGAGTGAGATCGAATATCACGGGGAAACATACTAGAGCTCTAACGAATGGTTGAATTTCGAGAACAAAACTGACGCCGGCGGTGAACCGTCAACCTGGTCACGCCGGGAACCTCGTAGAGCTCTTTTCACGCGTAGGAGAGCTGATTCATTTTTTTTCATGTCGACATGAGGTCGGTTCCTCCAAGTGTTTTGATAGTAAATGTGCGCCTAGAGAGCTCATGTTAAGACGCAGAGGCCCTCATAGTCGTTTACAGGTGCGAAAAATCTGCTTTCTGAAAATGAACTGGCGCCGGCGGTGAACCATCAACCTGGTCACCGCCGCGAACCTCGTAGAGCTCCTCTCACTGGAAAGAATGCAGAGAATCGACACAGAGTCAAAAAATAGAGATTTCTCGGACAACTCATGCAGAAATGCATCGAGAGAGCTGAGCTGCTGTCAGGGAGGAGTGTATATGCCAATGCGACGCGCAAAAATCTCCTCTCTCAAAATGAACTGTCAAATATCTTTCAAATCTTCGCAAAACCACCCAAAGTTCCACATTGTCCGCCTCGGACGGCTGGGCCAACTAGCTCCACCCCGCGCCGGAGTTCCTCTAGCTCATCGATGCCGAAGAGCTCTACAAGGTATTCTCAGACTGGCTCCGGCGGTGAACCGTCAACCTGTCACCGCCGGGAACCTCGTACAGCTGCTGTCAGGGAGGGAATTATATGCCAATGCGACGCGCAAAAATCTGCTCTCTCAAAATGAATTGTCAAATATCTTTCACATTTTCGCAAAAGCACCCAAAACTGGGAACCAGCGGTGAACCATCAACCTTTGTTACCGCTGGGGGACTCGTAGAGCTTCCTGACAACATTTCATGTCGGAAACCTCGTAGAGCTCATTTCACGCGTAAGAGTGCTCGGAGTCGAAAGATTCTCGGAAAAAAGAGAAGAAAAAAAAAAAAAAAAAAAAAAAAAAAAAAAAAAAAAAAAAAAAAAAAAAAAAAAAAAAAAAAAAAAAAAAAAAAAAAAAAAAAAAAAAAAACGTGTAGACCTGAAGATGGTTCCGCCAAGTGTTTTGATAGTAAAAGTACGCCTTCAGAGCTCATACAAAGACAGAGAGGCCCTCATAGTCGTTTACAGGTGAGAAAAATCTGCTTTCTCAAAATGAATTGTCAAATATCTTTCAAAAAATGCAAAACCACCCAAAAGTTACCACTTTGTCCTTTCTTGCCAGGTCGACCAACTGGGCGCCGGCGGAAACCGTCAACCTTTGTTACCGCCGGGGGACTCGTAGAGCTTCCTGACAATATAATGTCGAAAAAAAATACACAGAAAAAATACTTGTTCAGCCCAAGCAATTTCAGACCTCGATGCAACAGCCCAACGCCCCGATGCTTCTGGATTGTCTTCTGCACGAGCTCTGTAGCTCTCCTACAGCCCGAGTTACGTGCGTACATCGACAGCACCTCTCAAGATGACTTGAATAATACGAATAGTTTCGCGAACCTAGTTCGGGCAGAAGACAGCGTTCGGAGCTCTGGATTCCACAGGCGGATGCGCCTGATCTCTCCGAATCGATTCCAGTGATTCTCAGCCATGCAGCCGCCCTACAGCCCGAGTTAAGTGCAGAGAACCGACAGCATCTCTCAAGATGACTCGAACAATACGAACAGTTTCGCGATTCTGGATCGGGCAGCAGACCGAGTTCACTGGAGTGAACAGACGGACGCGACTGACGATTCCGAATCGATTTCTGTAAGTATCAGCTCTGTAGCTACAGAAACCGAGAGCGCCTGTCAAGATGACGAATAATACGGCTAGCAGACCGAGTTCGGACCTCTGCAACAGCGGAACGCGCCTGATCATTCTGAATCGGTAAGGTGTGATTACCAGCTATGTCCTATATCTCAAGTTAAGACCAATATACTGACAGCGCGTATCAAGATGACTCGAAACGGCCGATACCGCCCGCGTGCTTTTTGGCAGTAAAAGATACCCGATCGAGCTGAAATCAAGATGGCGACCGGGAGTGAGATCGAATATCACGGAAAAACATACTAGAGCTCTAACGAATGGTTCAATTTCGAGAACAAAACTGGCGCCGGCAGTGAACCGTCAACCTGGTCACGCCGGGAACCTCGTAGAGCTCTTTTCACGCGTAGGAGAGCTGATTCACTTTTTTTCATGTCGACATGAGGTCGGTTCCTCCAAGTGTTTTGATAGTAAATGTGCGCCTGGAGAGCTCATGTTAAGGCGCAGAGGCCCTCATGGTCGTTTACAGGTGCGAAAAATCTGCTTTCTCAAAATGAACTGGCGCCGGCGGTCTGGTCACCGCCGCGAACCTCGTAGAGCTTCTCTCACTGGGAAGAGTGCAGAGAATCGACACAGAGTCAAAAAAATAAAGATTTCTCGGACAACTCATGCAGAAATGCATCGAGAGAGCTGAGCTGCTGTCAGGGAGGAGTTTATATGCCAATGCGACGCGCAAAAATCTCCTCTCTCAAAATGAACTGTCAAATATCTTTCAAATCTTCGGAAAACCACCCAAAGTTCCACATTGTCCGCCTCGACTGGCTGGGCCAACTAGCTCCACCCCGCGCCGGAGTTCCTCTAGCTCATCGATGCCAAAGAGCTCTACGAGGTATTCTCAGACTGCCTCCGGCGATGAACCGTCAACCTGTCACCGCCGGGAACCTCGTACAGCTGCTGTCAGGGAGGGAGTTATATGCCAATGCGACGCGCCGCGCTGGCATTCCTCTAGCTCATCGATGCCGAAGAGCTCTACGAGATATTGCGAAATATCCTTGAACTGGCCAAATGGCAGCGTTCACTGACACCGGCGAAGAACCGTCAACCTGCTCTCCGCCGGGAACCTCTTAGAGCTCTTTTCACGCGTGAGAATGCTAAAAGTCGAAGGAGAGAGCTTTTCGAGGCATTTATCGAACAATTCAATCTTCAATTTTTTCATGTCGATAGAAAGTTGATTGCGCCAAATTTTTTGATAGTAAAAGTGCGCCTTCAGCGCTCATATTAAGACGCAGAGACGCTCTGCTTGCTGAAAATAAAAACTACCCAAAGAGTTACCACATTCTCCTCCTCGGCCGCGTGGGCCAACTAGCTTCACCCGCGCCGGAACTGGGCGCCGGCGGTAAACCGTCAACCTCGGTTTTTGAGTTTGAGTTTGAGTCAGGGCGCGGACAGCTGTGACAGCTGAGCCCTAAGACTCCCAAACGGAGCACAGGGTAGCTGGAGAGGGCAACTCTTATCATCACACTGCCGAGCCACTGAGGCATAGGCAACGGAATAGGATGCAGGAACAAGGAAAAGGATGCAATACAACATGTGAAAATGTAAAGGTGTTGGAGAGCTCCAAGCAAGATGAAATGAGTCAGCTGCTTGGATGAAAGATGCTACCCAAAATGTGCTCCACGGCCATACAGAGCCGTTGTGCTGCAATCATCTCACAAAACATGACAGAAGCAGAGGCATCAAGCGAGACAGCTTCCTCCGCCACCAACTGCCACGTCCCGTGTACACACAAATCTATACACCATCCTGCAGCACATCCCTCCACAGAGCGACCTCCGTCGAAGAATCCACGGAGGCCGTCTAGTTTTGTTTTACTCGCATGTTCAATAAGTGAGGTATGGAACGTAACGTAACTATTTTTGGTTCTGGCCAACCATGTCAGCCTGTCAGCTCTTTCGTTTCCTTCTCGATAGATCCACCTGAACATATTGTGGCCCCAACTCGGAGGCCTCATACCATACAACACAGAGATATGCTCCAGCCTATTTTGAATGTCGCCAAGAATGTGCTTGTAGATAATATTGGATGTTGCCCAGAGACCGTTAATCCAATTCACCCCTGTGGCGGAGTCCCCAATCAATTCCATCGGTATCGAGTCCCGAGGCTCCGCATTCCACTCCGATGCATGTTCATTAATGTACGCAAGTCGTTTCTCCATCTTCTCGTCCTCCTTCCTTTGCTGCTCCTCCGTCTTCTCCCTCTCCTCCTCCTCCCTAGCATATCCCGCAGGTTGTGCATGTTTAAAGTAACAGTACCCCCACGCCTCCTCCATGTTAGTAACATCCAGTGCCCGCTTCAGAAATTCTTTCCATCCCTGACGTGAAAAGGATAACGTGTGATACCAATCCTTCCCTGATACCAACTCGAAAATGTAATGGAAGTTTCTCAACGCCAGTGGTCTCCCCCCCTCATGCCGACGCGTCATTAATGGGCGTTCTTTCCAAGGCAGCGATGCAATGAAGGCCTGCCGTCGGTCAGTCCACTCCCCCGACCATGCAAAAATACATTCTCTAGCCTGCATATGCGAGTCCCCTGTACTACGATGCTGAGGTGGAGCCACCCGTCGCCGCTTGTTTGCAGCGATTTCCTGCGACGGCAACTCAACAGAGGAACGCTTTTGCGACAGAGAATCCTGAGATGGATGGAATGTCTTTGCACGCTTATGCATCTGGGAAATCAGATTGCGCCGATGCGCGGGTAATTGTGTCTGAGAACCAGGGAGCTCAAAGGAATCAACAGCATGCATCGTCTCACACACGTCAGGATGACATCCCATTGATGTCGAGCACGCAATACTTGGTAGCACATACATGGGTTCATCCTGACGTTGTCTCTTGGCCGGCGGTGGCTCACACGCAGCAAAGACGTTGGGGCCAGGCTTGCCTGAAGAATCAAAAGTACCTGGAGGAATCTGTGCGGGTGTTGGGTTCAGGCGTTTCACAGTAAACGTACAGTCCTGAGCCCACTGCCACTGACGAAACAAGAATAGCTGCACAAGAGACGGCCGTCCCAATTCCAGGAGCATACGCCGCCCACGTTTGTACAAGTTGCATAAGTATATACTCCAATCCATGTCGGCAGGTTTCGGGCGGCGTACCATAGAACACAATATTTTACCTTCCCACGTGTGCAACTGTTTCAAAGTGTGGTGGTCCGCTGGCATGCCTTCAACACCGAAAAGTACAAAACTACGCAACCTAGATTCATAATGCTTGATTTTCTTCTGGAAGGGTACAGCACGATTCGTATAAAACTTGCGGAACTGGTTAAATCGCTTCCAACCCCGAGCCAATTTCCAAGCCACATCATGGTGTTTGTCAGTCTTGGTCGTGACCAGGCAACCCAGGCACTCCATTTCAGAGCATCGCGGAAGACACAGGGTACCGAGATCGTTCACCTGGACAACGAGGTTCCCCGTCGAGGCGCCTTCAGAGTCCTCCCCAAAGGCAAGATAGTGTAGTGAGGAATCTTTCCATCTGAAACCGTGCGTATACAGCTGAGCCGAGAAGTCCCCCACCATACGTGTGAGCTCAGTCTTTGATTTCGAGAAAAGCAAAATGTTATCGGCCCAGAGCGCATGAGTAAGATACCTCCCACCAGCCTCCACCCCCAAATCGTACCCCAACTTCTCCTCCTCCCAATTCAGTACAATCCTATCCCACATCAGTAGTGTCACACACTTCCACAGGAAGGGGGCCTCCACACTACCAGTACGTACACATGCATCCCAGGGGACTCGTAGAGCTTTCTGACACTATATAATGTGGGGAAAAACTTCAGAGAACGACTAGTTTTTCAGCCCAAGCGATTTCGGACCTCTCAAGATGACTCTAACACAAAAAAAAAAGTTTCGCAACACAGTTCGAATATCAAACCGAATTCAGACCTCTGAATGCGACAGGCGGACGTGTCTGATGTCTCCGAATCGACTCATGTGATTACCAGCCCTGCAGCCCCCCTACAGCCCGAGTTAAATGCAGAAAACCGACAGCATATCTCAGGATGACTTCAATAATACAATAGTGTCGCGGACCTAGTTCGAGCAGCAGACCGAGTTCCGAGTTTTCGGTTCGACGCACGGACGCGCCTGATGTGTCCGAATCGATATCTGTGACCAGCAGCACTGTTGCCCTCTCCCAGATTGAGAGCACTTCTTAAGATTATTCGAAGAAGACGAATAGTTTCGCGAACCTAGCTCGGGCAGCAGACCGAGTTCAGATCTCTCGATTCAACAGACGAACGCGCCTGATAACCCCCGATCGATTTCTGTGATTATGGGCTCTGTAGCTGCCCTACAGCTCGAGTTAAGCACCGAAAACCGAGAGCGTCTGTCAAGATGACTCGACTAATACAAATAGGTTTGCGGACCTAGCTCGGCTAGCAGACCGAGTTCAGACCTCTGGATTCAACAGGCGAATGCGCCTGATGATTCTGAACGCGAAAGATGTACTGGCCAGCTCTGTAGCTGCCCTACAGCTCGAGTTAAGTACAAAATACCGACAACGCGTATCAAGATAACTCGAAACGACCGATCCCGCCAGTGTGCTTTTTGGCAGTAAAAGGTACCCGATCGAGCTGAGATCAAGATGGCGAGCGGGAATAAGATCGAATATCACGGGAAAAAATACTAGAGCTCTAACGAATGATCAGATTTCGAGAACATAATTTTCAACCGAGCAAAAGTTGTGAAAAGTTCAGTTCTTTTTTTTTCGAGCCAACTAGCTCTCCAGCGCGCCGGAATTACTCTTAGCTTCCAGCTATAACTAGCTAAGGGAAGCTCTACGAGTTATTTCTCTGGCTCATCGACGACGAAAAGCCCTACGAGCTACTGGGCGCCGGCGGTAAACCGTCAACCTTGGTTACCGCCGGGAGACTCGCAGAGCTTCCTAACTCGACTTAAGTTGAGAGAACAGACAGCAACAATCTGACTTATAGTGAATAGTTTTTGGCCTCTGAGTGCGACAGACTGACGCGTCTGATGTCTGAGAATCGACTGCTGTCATTATCAGCCCTGGAGCCCCCCTACAGCCCGAGTTAAGTGCAGAAAACCGACAGCATCTCAGGATGACTCGAACAATAGAAATAGCTTCGCGGACCTAGTTCGGGCAGCAGACAGAGTTTAGAGCTCTCTATTCGACAGGCGGACGCGCCTGATGTCTTCAAATCGATTACATTGATTACCAGCCACGCAGCCCCCCTACAGCCCGAGTTAAGTCCAGATAACCGACCGCATCCTCGAACGATACTTTGCGAGTATAGATCGGGCAGCAGACCGAGTTCAGAGCTCTAAATTCGACAGACAAACGCAACTGTTGATTCTGGATTGGTGCCTGTAAATATCAGCTCTGTAGCTGTCCAATAGCTCGAGTTAAGTGCAGAAAACCGAGAGTTTCTGTCAAGATGACTCGAATAATACGAACAGGTTTGCGGACCTTGCTGGGCTAGCAGACCGACTTCAGACCTCGGGGTTCAACAGGCGAACGCGCCTGATCATTCTGCATGCATTAGCTGTGCTTACCAGCTCTGTAGCTGCCCTAGAGCGCGAGTTATGTTCAGAAAACCGTCAGCGCATATCAAGATGACTCAAAACGGCCGATCCCGCCACAGTGCTTTTCGATAGTAATATCCACCCGATCGAGCTGAGATCAAGATGGCGAGCGGGAATAAGATCGAATATCACGGGAAAAAATACTAGAGCTCAAACGAATTGTTGAATTTCGAGAACGAAATTTTCAACTGACCAAAAGTTGTGAAAAGTTCAGTCGAGATTTTTCGAGCCAACTAGCTGTGGAGCGCGCCGGAATTACTCTTAGCTTCCAGCAATGACTGGGCGCCGGCGGTAAACCGTCAACCTTGGTTACCGCCGGGGGACTCGTAGAGCTTCCTAACTCGACTTAAGTTGAGAAAACAGACAGCACTTACCAACAATCTGACTTATAGTGAATAGTTTTGACCTCTAAATGCGACAGACGGACGCGTCTGATGTCTGCGAATCGACTCCTGTCATTACCAGCCCTGCAGCCCCCCTACAGCCCGAGTTAAGTGCAGAAACCCGACAGCACCTCTCAGGATGACTCGAACAATAGGAATAGTTTCGCGGACCTACTTCGGGCAGCAGACAGAGTTCAGAGCTCTGTATTCGACATGCGGACGCGCCTCATGTCTTCAAATCGATCCCAGTGATTACCAGCCATGCAGCCCCCCCTACAGCCCGAGTTAAGTCCAGACAACGGACATTATCTCGCAAGCGACTCGAACGATATAAAAAGTTTCGCGATTCTAGATCGGGCAGCAGGCCGAGTTCACAGCTCTGGAGTCGACAGACAAACGCAACTGATGATTCTGGATTGGTGCCTCTGAATATCAGCTCTGTAGCTGTCCTACAGCTCGAGTTAAGTGCAGAAAACCGAGCGTTTCTGTCAAAATGACTCGAATAATACGAACAGGTTTGTGGCCCTAGCTCGGCTAGCAGACCGAGTTCAGACCTCTGGATTCAACAGGCGAACGCGCCTGATCATTCTGCATGCATTAGCTGTGCTTACCAGCTCTGTAGCTGCCCTAGAGCTCGAGTTATGTTCAGAAAACCGCCAGCGCATATCAAGATGACTCAAAACGGCCGATCCCGCCACAGTGCTTTTCGATAGTAATATTCACCCGATCGAGCTGAGATCAAGATGGCGAGCGAGAATAAGATCGAATATCACGGGAAAAAATACTAGAGCTCCAACGAATTGTCAAATTTTGAGAACAAAATTTTCAACCGAGCAAAAGTTGTGAAAAGTTCAGTCGAGATTTTTCGA